ACGGCTCAAAGTCTGGATTTCGTTCGTGAGAGTGATGAACGTCATGAGTTTGTTTTCACATATGAGTGGTGATGTGGGCGGGACTGACGGACAGACAGAAGCATGACTGAGGCTGTGGACTCAACATGATGATAACACCAACAATAACTGCGCGTCTGTGACATGAACTAATGAGGCAGCAGCACAGCAGCGTCACCACAGACGTGAGCCTCGGTTTTATGGATGCTTTGCCTGCTGTGACAAGGCGACATGTCTGCTGTGTGTGTAACTATGGAAACCATTAAACAGGAAACACAGTATGTGAAGAACGTCAGGACGTCACTGTAACATAGTGCAGGTGTATACGTCACATGTACCCTGAGATTAACATCCACCTGAACACCTCTGAGAGCGCGTCACTGATTCCTTTACAAACACAAAGCAGTTCATTAGAGTGAAGTTTAACCTTTAATTACAGCTCTGTGTCACTGGAACCTGCCAAACTCTTATTGCTCTGATTCATTTACTGTATGATCGAACAAACAGTTTGTGTTGGTATGACATGAGATCCACCCAGTAACAACGTCCACAGACACCAGAGCTGGAGACGGCTCAGTCCACTGTCTGTGTGGGGAAACTCCCACTCACTGTGACAGCGTCTTCTTTACGTCCAGCCCAGAGCAGCGGGTCCACTCTGAGTCCACTCCACACTGACGAGGCACACAGTTCAGGTCCAACATGAAAGGAAACAAATCGCTACAACAGCTCGGTGTTGTAAATGTTTCCAGTCCTGACAGGACGACGTTCAGAGCTTTTCCTTTGAAAGTGTAACCATGTATGTCACATGACTTCCTGTCACCGTGTAGAAAGTTCAGACAATCAACTAAAACCAAAAACAGTTTTGTTTTATGTACATATGTCTGCATGTTATTAAAGGAGCTGACCATGAACATGATTAAGAAACTCTTCAGTTAATGTGGTCCATGGCATTTCTCATGCTAATGCTAGCACTGATAAAAACAGGCTCTGCCGTCATCAGAGCGCTCGCGTGGAAAACTCAACATTTACAATATTTCACATTAAAAAGAAAACCAGGCTCCATCAGGTCCAGTATGGCGTGGCTCAATCCAGAGAAATGATGTCCGATATGCCGCCGTCGGCCCCTCCTCCCGTGCCCCCGCCCCCTCCTGTGAGGACCCTCGTGTCATGGAAGGAGCTGGCGGCGTGGCTGATGGCGTCGTAGTGGCTGCTGGACGAGGAAACCAAGGCTGCGCTGCTGGTTGCTGCAGCTGCATTTTGCATGCTGCTCGTCAGGTTATCCAGGAACATCTGAGGCGGGTAATGCTGCGCAGAGAGACACGCTCAGATCAACGTCAGAGTAAATGAAAGGCCCCAACGTGGCGTTAGGAATTCAAAAAACACGTTTACACGTC